TCCGCAGGGTGAGCCGCACCTCTCTCCAGGTCCGAGTTCACCGCCCGGCGTGGCTGGTGTGGGCAAGGCTGGTGGGCATTGTGATGTCTCTCCAAAGCCCGTTGGCGTCAACGCCGGCTTCTGCTGCCGGCGTCTAAAAGGCAGGTATGCTGCCCTGGAGAAATCTACCGCCAGAAGGGCCTACGGATATGCCGGCCAGATGTGTGTTCTGAAGGCAGGATTGCTTTAGTAGGAGAAGACAGGAGGGTGTCCACGGAGGATGCTGCAGCAGGAGTCGAGTTCTTCGTTCAGGTGGTTGATCCTGGAAATCCATCCACCCTCCAAGTGTTTCTGCGGATCTGGGAGTTGGCAAAGGGCCTCCACCGTGTCCTTGGTTGGATCTGGGATCCGGGAGTTGGCAAAGGGCCTCCACCGTGTCCTTGGTAGCGGGTGTGGCATTGTGACCCATCAGCGACACACGGAGCGTTCAACCATCGAGCCACACACTTTCCCAAGCAAGTTGGAGGTGGAGCCTGTCGTTCTGCCGCGGCCCGAACGCACGGTTTTGATCAAACCACTTCTCATACCCCAAACGAGAAGTCTCCTACTTTTCCTTGGACGACTATTTCAGTCTAAGCAACCCCGTTTCTTTGTATTTGGCCTAAAACTTCCCCTTTTGCCTCTGCCACCTGAAATAATTCTGCTCCGTGCTTGTGTTTACACCTGCTCTTAATCTGCATGCAGCTATCTTGCTCTTCCTTACCGGCAGTTAGCCACCGTGCACCTGTCCAAGTCTTTCCCAATCGCTCTTCCTAAACCAGTCCCTCCAGTGCCTTGTTGGTTTTCCTGCTGTTCTCTGAATTGCCTTCAGCTTGTCAATCTTATCCTGCCCAGAAAGAGATGGTTTTCCAGGTGCCGTCCTTTCCCAGCTGGGTGCTATGAAATCCCTTGATACTGATTCCCCGTGATTCCATGGGGCCGTCTGGAGATCTGACAGTGTATCTCCTGCTACGATGGATGGCAACACATCTCCTCCGGGTACCTGTCTGCATGAGCCCCCTGCAGGTGTGTAAGCACCTTATGTGCGGCAGACTGGCTGGGTTTGCCTAGCACCATCCCTCGAGGGCGTGACGGGGGAGGTGACGGGATGTACAAGTTGGGATGCAGAGTTAGGCCTGGTGTTGGCTCTCCCGCTCTGGAGTGCGCCCCCAGCAAGCTGTGGAACGGACAGGGAAGTTTTGGTGCTCCGGGGGTCAGGGCACAGCTGGTGCGGTGGTCGGTGCCCACAGACGTGCGGCGAGGGACAGACCCTGATGACGGCTGGATCGGGGTCAGGCCGGGGAGGTCATTGGGCCAGCAACAGCCCCGAGGGGCGGCGTAGCCTCTGGCCGACAGGCAGGGGGGTAGGGGTTGCCCGGGGGGCGGGA